AAGGCATCAACATGAAGCTATACCAAAAGAGGTTCTCTAGACCTTCCTACTCAAAGCTCCTCTAGAGACCTAAAATGCCTGATGGACACAATTCTGACTTGGTAACTCTGGGATAAAAAGAGGAAGAGCATTTTTAGTAAGCAATAAGCATTTCTTTCAAAGCAATTACTTGAATAGACTAAGCAAAAAAGCAAAAGATAACTTCCTTCCCCATATTCCTGAGGTAAATATTCAAAGGTACAAATTACAACCTTACCAGCATACAGATATCCATGGGAAGGAACACCTTTCTTCTGCTCCCATGATATGGTGTTGCTCTCAAGCAAGTGACAATGCCTTGCGCTTTTCCAATATGACTTGCAGCATGATCTGCATGAACGTCCTTTATACCTACGATTTCAGAAATTATACAGGCTGCTCTATTCTAAGTGCATAATAAATCAATAGAAATAGCACAGAGAAATCAGCTAAACATGTAAAAATAGACATATATCCTATGTTTTATATCTGAAAAAAACAGGATTTATGAGTGAAAAACTGGGCACAAAAACAAGTTGATCATTTACCACCAGCAGATATCTAAATCTCAATCTCAACTTTTAAACGAGAGTTTTCCTCAGACTACAGCACACTAAGAACACATTTAGAATTTTAATCAGCTATCATGGAAAAACTTTACAAGTCTTCCATTTCTTCTCCTCTGTGCAATTTCCATATGACCTCATTTTAAGAATATGCTTAACAAACATTCTGCTCTTTGCTCCCTCCTTTCATTGTGACGGTAAACATGTCACCAGAGTTGTGGGCCAGAACAGGCCTGGGAGATGCAATGGGGACTTGTATTATTCTTTTAGGGAGGTATAAAGATATATATTACCTTCTTCAAATGAGATGGTATTGTCCTTGGCCCAAATAATTTCCTCATTTCAATAAGACCTCACTAACTCGCAACAAAGTCAGAGGAGAAATCCTACCATCAAAATTTTGTTTTTAAAAAAGCAGAGAAAGAAAAATCTCAAAAACTTTTATAAATGCAGTTTTAGGCCGGGCACGGTGGCTCATGCCTGTAATCCTGGCACTTTGGGAGGCTGAGGCAGGCAGATCATGAGGTCAAGAGATCGATACCATTCTGGCCTTGTCTATACTAAAAGTACAAAATTTAGCTGGGTGTGGTGGCACGCACCTGTAGTCCCAGCTACTCGGGAGGCTGATGCAGGAGAATCACTTGAATCTGGGAGGCGGAAGTTGCAGTGAGCCGAGATTACGCCACTGCACTCCAGCCTGGGGACAGAGCGAGACTACGTCTCAAAATAAAATAAAATAAAGTAAGTGTGTTTTACTTCTTCTACTTTTCTTTTTCCATGGATAAGTATTATTAACAGGAAAGGAAGAATCAGGTTATAGGCCTTCCAAAGTGTAGGAGATGCTATAGTAAAAAAGTAAAGCCATCTGCAATTACCAGAGTATTAATTTCAACATTCCCATGAGGAAAGTAGCTGTGTGAGAGCCTGAGTCTTGGATTACTCTGCATTACAAAGAAAGAGATATAAATTCCTCTTCTTGCTAACAACCACCACCACAAAAACTGTTCCTTTACAGATAGTACAAAGGAAGACTTTAGTGCTAAACTGGTCAGACTGCCAAACTATGAAAACGTGAAATCTCAAAGGTATTTTACTGGAAAAAAGAAGTATGAAACAGAAAAACAACTTACCCAATATTTCTAGTGTTAAGTAAAGAAGAGAGCTCTGTGTGTTTTCAGCATAATTTTCCAGTTCCTTGATATTACGATATGCTTTATCATCTAGATTTTTTTCCTACATCAAATAAAATGCAAATAAAGTCTGTTGAACTGTCAGTATTTTATAAAGAAAAGGTGCTGTTTTTTTTTGCCCCAAAGAACTGAATAATAATGAATAAAAATATTTAGTATATGTTATTTAGTACACAATAAGATAAAACATTACAATATTAAAGTTCTACATATTCAATACTTTCAAATCCACCACCTCAAAATAAGACATCAGGAATAATATCAATGTACAAATCACCATGGACATGGCATTGTTTTTTAATTTCATCTGAAGCCCAAGTTATCAAAATAAACTGACTTTACTGAGCTCTTATGTAAGCACTTTAGACATTATCTTCTTAACCCGAACAATCCCCCCACCAAGAGATAAGGAATTCATACTTTCCCCATTTTACAAATGAAGAAACTGAGGCATGGATCCATTAACATGTCCAAGGACACACAGTTAATAAATAAATGGTGGGGACAGGAACCCACATATGTGACTCGTGAATCTACACAGTCAATGAGGAAAAGGTACCTAGAAAAAGAAAACAGAAACCAGTGCCTACCCCATTCCCCAAAAAGAAACCATGCTCAATAAAATAACAGGGTTGATTCCCTAAATACACTATATGCAAGAAACAGAAAAATGAGAATCTAATAGCAAGAACACTTAGCCACTTTTATAATAATACATTTACGAAGATTATTATTAGGGCAAAATATTATCCCCTATTTCACCCTCTTTAAAATCAGAAGAAACTAACACCAGCATCAAATGCCACATGCAGGGTTTTAAAAAAAAGAGGCCGGGCGGGGTGGCTCACGCCTGTAATCCCAGTACTTTGGGAGGCCAAGGTGGGCAGATCACCTGAGGTCAGGAGTTCAAGACCAGCCTGGCCAACATGGTAAAACCCTGTCTCTACCAAAAATACAAAAGAAGTCAGCTGGGCATTGTGGCGGGTGCCTGTAATCCCAGCTACTCGGGAAGCTGAGGCAGGAGAATCTCTTGAACCTGGGAGGCAAAGGTTGCAGGGAGCCGAGATCATGCCATTGCACTCCAGCCTGGGCAACAAGAGTGAGACTCCATCTCCAAAAAAAAAAAAAAAAGAAAGAAAGAAAGAAAGAAAGGAAAAAGAAAAGAAAATGACACCAGCAATGATTCCAGAAAAAAAAAAAAATGCATCCTTTATGGTTTGTTAAATTCAGACATAACTAACATACCATAAAATTTATCCCTTCAAATAATACAATTCAGTGGTTTTTAGTATGTACACAAAGTTGTGCGGCTATCACTATTATCTAATTCCAGAATATTTTAATGACCCCCAAAAGAAAACTTGCATCCATTAAGCAGACACTTCCCATTCCCCCCTCCCCTCAGCCCTGGCAAACCACTAATCTACTTTTTGTCTTCATGGATTTGTCTATTCTGGGCACTTCATAAAAATGGAATTGTATAATATGTAGCTTTTTGTGCCTGGCTTCTTTTAATTAGCATAATGTTTTCTTCATCTACTGGTACTTCATTTTTTTCAGTTGAATAAATTATTAATAATATTCTATTGTATGGATATACAATATTTTGTTCAACAACTAATTAACAGACTATGAGTTCTTTCTACTTTTGGGCTATCATGAATAATGTTGCCACAAACATTCATATACAAGTTCTGGGTGGACGTATGTTTTCATTTCTCTTGGGTATAAATCTAGGGATAGAATTTCTGGCTCTATGGTAACTCCTATGTTCAACTCTTTGAAGAAAAAGTAGGCAAACTATTTTTCCAAAGCAGCTGCACCATTTCACATTCCCGCCAGCAATGTATGAAAGGTTTTAACATCTCCCTGTTTTCACCAATATTTGTTAACGTGCATCTTTTTTTATCACAGCCATCCCAACAGCTGTGAAGTGATGTTTCTTTGTTTTAATAAGCATTTCTCTAATGAAAAGATGTGAAACACCTTTTCAGATGCTTATTGGTCATTTGTATACCTTATTTGCAGAAATGTCTACTCAAAGTCTTTCCTCATTTTTAAATGAGACTTTTTTATTGTTGAGTTGTAAGTTTCTTGCATATTTTAGATCATTGTCCCTTATCAGATATATAACTGGCAAATATTTTTTTCTTTTAGTACAATTTATCTATTTTTTCTTTTCTTGCTTGTGCCTTTGGTATCACATCTAAAAAACCATTGCCTAGCTAGGTGCAGTGGCTCACATCTGTAATCCCAGCACTTTGGGAGGCTGAGGCGGGTAGATCACAAGGTCAGGAGATCAAGACCATCCTGGCCAACATGGTGAAACCCTATCTCTACTAAAACACACACACAAAGCTGAGTAGTAGTCCCAGCTACTCAGAAGGCTGAGGCAGGGGAATTGCTTGAACCCAGGAGGTGGAGATTGCAGTGAGCCGAGATGGTATCACTGCACTCCAGCCTGGCAACAGAGCGAGACTCCATCTCAAAAAAAAAAAAAGAAAAAAAAAGAAACTACTGCCTAACCTACAAATCACTAAGATTTACACCTATGCTTTCCCCTAAGAGTTTCAGTTTTAGCTCTTACATCTAGGTCTTTTAATCTAGTTTGAGTTCATTTTTGCATATGGTGTGAGGCAGGGGTCAAAACTTATTATTTTGCAAGAGGTATCCAATTGTCCCAGCATCATTTGTTGCAAAGACTGTTCTTTCCCAAGTGAAATGTCTTGACACCCTTGTCACTCAACTGACTATAAATATATGGGTTTATATCTGGACTCTCATTTCTATTCCATTGATCTATATGTCTACCCTGTATCAGTAACACACAATGTGATTACTGTAGCTTTGTAGTTAAGTTCTGAAATCAGGAAATGTGAGCCCTCTAACTTTGTTCTTCTTTGTTAAGATTATTCTGGCTATTCTGGGTCCCTTGCATTTCCATATGAATTTTAGGACCAGTTTGTCAATTTCTGCAAAAAAGAAAGCTGGAATTTTGATAAAGATTGCATTGAATCTACAGATCAATGTTTGCTCACAGTTCTTTACTTTTAAATATCCCCCCTTCAAAAGCCAAGTGTTATTTTTCATTAAACTAAAATGGTGTCTCTGTCTTGGGTTCTCTAATTTTCTTTACCTTGTAAAAACAGAAAAGATGACACCTGAAAATAGGTCTTCTTAGCTAATATCTCTTTTTGGCTTCTTCTGATTATTGATACAGCCTATAGCTAGCAAACTGTATCTAAATAAACTAAGTAAACTTACATTTCCATGACAACAGCATGTAATTAATATTAGGCCAAGGGGAACACTGACCTAACAATGCATCAGAAAGGTCACACATGTTAGGCCATGTCACACAGCAATTCACTGACTTGGCTGGACCTAGAACTAAGTTCTAAGAATTTAGTACAGGATTCCATTCACTGGAACTGTCAGTCTTTCTTTATGCCCTCTACTATTTAGACACAGGTCCAAGTACTGGGGTATACATAAAGGTATGTGCATGACTAGTCAAGTATCTGATGATATTAAGGAATAATTAGTAATTTTTAAGGTATGATAATCATATTATGGTTATTTTTTGTCTTTATCTTTTTAAGATACATATGCATTTATAAATCAGATGATAAGATGTCTGGGATTTTCTTTAACATGTCACCAGATATTCTACACATGCAAAGTATTCTCTCTATTTTTATGTAAGTATGAAAATTTCCTTTTAAAAACAAAATTGTGGAGTGTGGTTGTGCATACACATGCCTCTGCCTGGGTGCCTGTCTCAATGTGAGGGTATGGGGGGTTGATGTGAGTAGCATGCAAGGGTAAAGTATGAATAAAATGACATGGTTCTCTAAAATTTTCCATCCTCTAAAATATTAATATACAATCAAAATATTTACTTCCTGAAGAATTAGCTTAAGAATTAAACAGGAAGAAAGAAAGAAAGAAAAAAATAAAATAAAATAAAATAATTAAACAGGAAGAAAAAGCTTAAAACTTGAACAATTTCGACTTACTCTTTCATCAATGATTTTCATAAGCCATCTTTTAGTCAGATTATGTCTTTTAACAGCCTAAAAGACAAAGAGTATTATAAGTTTTCAGAAAGTACTAGAAATGACTTCTGTAGAACTGAATAAAATAAACAAACCAAATACAAAACTAAGTAGGGAAACATTTGTAATAACTCATCACCAAATAGACAGCTATGTTAAAGAAATATCAAGGAAAAAGAAAACGTCCCTAGAAAATATTTCAAAACACTTACAAGATTATATTTCTAATATTTTTCTACTAACTTGTCTTTTTTTCCTATACTGCTAATAATTTAACGATTCCACTTTCAAACAAAAACAAAACAAGAATTACGCATCAAATACTGAACTTCTCTATTATGTGATATACCCCGACATTTTATTTTTTTAAATTGTAGAGACAGGGTCTCACTATGGTGCTGGTCTTGAACTCCCGGGTTCAAATTATCCTCCCGCCTCAACTTCCCAAAATGTTGGGATTATAGGCATGAGCCACTGTGCCTAGCCACCCTGACTTCTATGCTTACTCATTACACGCAAATTTTTTTCCACAGGGTAAAGATTCTTTTTAGCAAAAGTAACCACCCCTCCAAAAACACAGTAACTAAAACTCCAACAAAAATAATCCACATGGTAAATTGTTACCTTAGCAAGTAAAGACACTCCAGTAGGAAAGAGCTCACCTAGTGCTCAGACACTTGTCTCTACTACAATTCTCCTAAAAGGAATCAGGGCTCTCGAGAAATGGGTGATTCCAAAGGTGAGGCAAGGGAGAGATTCAAGAGGATCCTAGAATATCTTATTGTGTCAGAAAATAAGAAAGTGCTCCAAAAAATGATGGAAGCGTGTCACAAGGACATAGCAGCCACTGTGAACGAGTTCCCCCTGTCCAAAGCTGGAACAACCTGAACACCCAAATCAGTACATGAGTGAATTATAAACTGTAAAAAACAAGAAATCATGTGTCGACACCAATAATTAATAAACAAATAAATAAAGGAAAATAAGAGCTCATTCTTATAGCAGAATGCTAAGTGCCAACTGGTAAATGTGGACC